ACGTGTGGACCCTGAATAGCCAACTGCCACTCCTTCAGTCTGTTCAATGTCTGAAAAGTCCTTTTCTTCATACCTGGCCACTTCAGTACCATGGCGTGTGCCTGTGTCAGGTGCCTAGAATAGTTTTAAAAAGGAGATTTACAAAGAACTTGAAAGTTAATGCACTAGTTTTGTTGCTAAATTGAAAGAAGTGGAGTTTAATAAATATAGAGCTATTAGATCTATGTATTTAAAAAATATAAAACTAAACAGAAAAGCAATTTTGCTTGATGTACCCCGCCCTGTGAATTATGCTTGCTTATGAAGACAAATACTTCTACTTCCTTGATAGGTGGGTGGAGCTAGGCAAGTGAGAGGAAAGGAATTTAGGATGTGTGTAAGCAGACCAGAATGAGGAACTTGATAACTTGGATCTGGAGGTAATTTAGCATTTGAACTTCTCTGTCTTACAGGCAAAGGATGACCTGGAATTCAGTATGTTTTGCACAGTGTATTCTGCTAGCAGAAGTGCTGCTTCCAAAAGAAGAAAATATTCAGGGCAAACACTCGAAGATAAAATTACTTTTTTATTGTATGGGCGAAAAAGCTTTCTGGTTGCAGTGTAATTCATGTTAGCCATATTGGTTGGATGTTATTTTGTAATGTTTTTAAATCTTTGTGCACAATTCACATTGTGCAAAGCCAGTGTACTTCACCTCCTAGTACAATACTCAGCATGAAACCAGTAAATTAACAGTTTTACTACTACTTAGTCTAGTTTTGAATGGAACTATTACTCTAGGGCAGATATTCAAATTTCTAGATCCCTACTTACTTGCTGCATTTGAGTATTATCTCTAGTACTCAGGGGGTGTATTTGTAATGCCAGCATTAATTGTTCACTGATTGATCATGTAGTTTGTAGTGTAAGTAGGGGAAGAATCTGTCATTATAACTGCAGCATTTTATAGCTTAACTGCTTCAGCTGACAGCCTTGCTGCCCCTCTGTGGCAGTAAAAATGGCAAAAATGAAGCTGTCATCTCCTTAGTGGCTGTAGCTCAGAATTTGACTAATCTAAATCCTTCTTGTTTAAACTAATGTGTCGAAGCCTGTGTAAAAGGGCTCTGAAACATGGGACTTCTGTATATTTTCACACAGGAAATCAGATATGAGAAAAATAGTAAACTAGGAGGTCCTGAAATCTGGTTTCTCTCTATATTAGTTGTCTAGGCAGTGAAAAAATATTGAATGAATAAAGTATAGTGATGATAGATTTTCTCTTAAAGGCAGTGTACTATTTACTTATTGATTCAGCTCTGGAAGAAGACTGAAATGTGTTTAATTATATGCAGTGGTCTAAGTCAACATTTTTTGGATGTAGAATTTGTTCCTTTTCATGAAGTGAATCTCAAATCTCTGCAGACAAACTGTCTCAGTTCTCCAGTAATTCTCAGTGTAATTCTCAGCATAGTTGTCCTGTACTGCAGTTTCAAGCTGGGATAGATGGGGTAGCAGTAATGTGCTCTTAAAATGGAACATGGTGATAGCAAATGTTACCTGAGTCTGTCTTACTGCAGTACTGAAGAGACTTGAGTGTTTTTTCCTCGTTGTATTGAACCTGAAGTAGCTAGGTCATAAGAGTTTTTGAAAAAAATCACTATTTAAATTGTCAGGAATTCATTAATAGAGCACTTACGCTTTAAGCATTGATTATTTTTTTTCTTATCCTGTGTGTACAGAACTTGTTCTCAATCTTTACCTTGTACCTTGTAAAGAGCACTTAGACAACAGAAAGATCTTAGATATCTTTGCCTTTTAGTGTCTGTTTGATTGATTATAATGCACGGCTGTTGCTTTGAGATTAACATTTTAACTTTCTTGGAACAAAATTTTAAATTATTTGAGAAGGTGCTTAAGCCAGTACTGCCAGAAAAAAGGGCAGCATACACCAACCTAATTGTATGTTTGTTCTGATGAACTACAAATCTTATTAATGGCTTATAAATGAGAGGATACAGACAATAATGAGAATGTAAATTACTAAGAAATGTGTGTTGAGATTTCTTTTCCTGTCTGAAAAGATGTTGTTACTGGAGAGGAAGGTTCTTAAGTAGTTGTATGTTACTGTGTGTTTTGAGAGGGGACTGCAACTGGAACTATACATAGAGTTGTTACCTGGGTGTGATAATTCTTTAACAGTCCTCAAAAGCTGAGTTGTTTTGAATGTGCATGAGCTACCATCTCTGCTCAGAACTGGACTAGTTAATGAAGCACACAGGCCTGGAATTTTAGTTTGATCTGAAGAGAGGTGTGAATTACAAAAGCAAGTATAATTGGGTCCATGTGTGCTGCCCTTTTTTCTGGCAGTACCAGCTTAAGCACCTCCTCAAATAATTTGTACCAGCTCTAAAAACTGGTTTGCAGTGATAAACAAGTGCCTGGGCCAGTGCACCTGAAGAGGTGGTGCCACTCAGCAGTGAGCACTGGGGAAGGGAAAAGATGGATTGTTGCTCTATAAGCTGGCACTGCTGCTCAGCAGCAGTTCCCTGGTTTATGCTGGGAAGCAGGAAGAACAAACAGTTCTGGTTCCAGAGAAGGCACTGTAGTGCATGGCAGCTGTGTAAAAGGCGTTATTTTGGGAATTGGAGAACCCACCAAGGATACTGCATAATCAATAGTGTATTAAATACTAGTATGCTACCATAAGTACCTGTCAGCATGTACCTGTGTTAGTTTCAGGGCTTGTGCTTGTGGTTTTTTTTGTAAAGATAACTTGTAGTAATGATACAAAAGTGATGGAGGATTAATTTTTTCAGAAAGATGTGTTGAACTAGTGAAAACTGGTATGTAAGTAACATTTGAATTTGCTACCTGAAAGGGACCAGCTCTGGGTCCCTGACTAATTGCTACATTCAAGGTAACAGAATCCTTTTCACTATATCTTGAAGTCAGTGTGCTTCAGTAGCTCATATTGCTAATTCCTTTACTAGATGCAGGATGAAAAGTATTTTCATTCTGTTTGTAAATACAAGGACATCACTTTTCTAAAATTTACCTAATGAAATTCAGTAGTGTGCAGCTAAGTGGATGTAAGTTTTGTTGCTAATGATCTGTTGCACTTTCCTGTGGTTGGTCTCTTGTATTTCCTTGTGCTGCCTTGTCTGTGCTCCAGCTGCAGATTCTGCAGAAGTATGTTTACAAGGGGCAGTGTTTAATCAAAAAGTTGGAAGGATAAAAGGCAGATATTATGCATAGGAAAGAAAAGGGTGGGGAAGAACAAGCATGCTTGTTTCTCCTTGCTTGTGACTCACTTTTTCATAACAGAAGGATTTTCAAATGAAGCAGAACACTAATTGAAAACAAACAGGAAGTAAAAAAAGTAATTATCTCTGCACTGAACCATGAGAGAGTTCAGTAGTAAATTAATAAGCTAATTAAATTGATTGGCTTTTAAACTTATAACTGTTATAAAAGCTATATTATTTTAATATATAGTATTTCATAATATAGAGTGTTATTTAGAATAGGGTGGGTCTGATTGTTAGTGCCGTGAATGCAGCCATCATTTCTTGATCTATGCATAATTTGTATTTACCTTCATCTGTATGAACATACAACTGATTATTTTCCTTTTCTTCAGTGTAAGACCAAAGGCACATCTGTTGGAAAAAAGTTTTTATGCTGCTTTTCATTCTGTCATTACATAGACCTAGCTGAGCTTTTCTGTGTTAGCATTCCACGTGATTGCTGTATTGAGACCCATCTTCTGGACCCAGTGGTATTTAAGCTCTCAGGTTAGAGTTGCTGTGTTGTGCTATTCCAGATGAGTCTGTAAGATACACACCATATGCTTGGTGTCATTTTCCAATATGAGATCTGAAGAGCCCTGCAGCTGGTCTCTTGCTCCATTTTAAACACCTTTTCCCTTGACTCCATGATTTTTATTTTTTTTTGAGTAATGTGATAATAGAGGCATATAAAAGCGTGGGAGATTTTGCATGAAAACCTGAAAAGAAATAATCAATGGCTTTTACAAGAAAAACATGGGAATATGTTCATTTCTTTGAAGGCGATGTCTCTCCCCCCAGCTTTATGCTTGTTTTGGGACTTGATGAGATTCCTTATGGGTGCAGGATGCCAGAGATTTCTACTATCCCATCAGGTTCCTATAATAACTTGTTATCTTGAACTGCTGGAAGTGACTAATTTTAGTAGTTACACCTGGCTGGTTAGTACCATTCCAGTCTCCTCTTTCGTGCTGTCTGCTGATCTGGTCTTAGCCAATGACTCTGGTCTTCTGCCAGGTGACTCACTTGTAACCTCTTCTCAGATGCAGCAGTTTTGACTAGAAGTGTTCCATCATAAGCAGTTTCTGATTCAATAAGTTGCTATTACATTTTAATTAACTCTACAAATGAATATTTACAAAGGTACTTGATGATGCAGCAATCCTGAGATTAACTTGATAGTGTCAACTAGTATTGTTGAGAGGTGAAAGCATCCTGTTTATTTTCAACTTAGTTTCACTATTATCTTATATTATGTTCCCTGAATTCTAGCTTCTGCTGAAGTTTTTCCTTGTGCTCTCAGTTCTAATCTTCCCTACAGCATGTTTCCATCATGGAACACTAGTACTTTAAATGTATGAGCAGTTAGAATTTTTGTGTGTTGACAGTATAAATATGAATTCTTACATGTGTGGCAGAAGGTATTAACTAACCATGTCTGGTCTTTCCACGCAGGCAGTAGGTTAAGTACAGTTTGCAGCAATTGTTTGTGTAGTGTGTGTGCTAGAATTCAATCATATGTTAAATAACTAAAAATTAAATACAAATATTTCTTGATAATGTGAAGGTGTTGCATCCTGAGGAGGGTGTTTTGAGTTTGATACGTTTGAACTCTTCTACATTGGGAGGTCAAGCTGTATTTCATAGCAAATAACATTTTGCTGGAGCTTATGTTTCATCATACTTTTTTTTTTTCCAGATACTTTACTATTCTTTTTGTTTGTTTTTTACAGTTCTATCTTCAAGACACTAAAAGTAGCAATGGTACCTTTATTAATAGCCAGAGACTGAGTAGAGGATCTGAGGAAAGCCCACCATGTGAAATTATGTCAGGTGACATAATCCAGTTTGGCGTAGATGTGACAGAGAACACGCGGAAAGGTAAGGGTATGGATCACTTTTTTTTTCAAGTATATTTATTTACAACTTTTTACTACAGTCCAATCTTTAAGAGTAAATGGTATTTCTGTTGAAAGAAAATAGTTTTGGGGTTTTTGTTACTTCTTTCTTCCTTTATGCTGGCAGTGAGTCACACAATAAACTGGATCAAGAACCTGATCTTCTGGAAACATAGACTTAGTTATTAACGAATAGCAATTGCCTCACTTAAATTGACTGACAGGAATTTTCAAAGTGCAGCATGGGCATGGGGTTTGTGGTTATTTTTCTAAAACTATCTTCCTTTCAAGCCTTATGAACCCTGAAGTTGCAGCTAATAATTGGCAGAAGTATAAAACAGAAGTATAAAATGCCATTTTGTGGTGAAGTATTCAGTGAATGTTTGAAACAGGCTAATTTGATTCTTGTCAAGATACCTGCATTTTCTTTCTGTGGCTGCTAGTGATTTTTTCTGCAGGTGCTTTTTGATTTCTTGATTTTTTTATTTCTTTTTTTATTTTATTTTTTTATTTCTGAGGTTAGAAAAAAGTTGAGCTGAAAGATGTGGTGTTGGGATTTGGTTTGATTTTCTTGCTGTCCTCTTTCAAGTATGCATGCTCAGAAGCTCTTGTATTATAGTAATAGCTGTTTATCTGTATTAATAAAAATGCAGCCTCAGTCTCTTCTTTTGCCTTTATGTACAGTGTTTCAGGAGCCATTTATTTGAAGATGGGTCTGTTTGTGAACTACTAGGTTGTAATCAATATTTTCAATACTATTAAAAGTTACCTTGTGGGCCCATTACTTTATGCAGTTGAACTTCTGGATACGTTCTCAAGAATCCTCATCCGATAACACAGATTTGGCAATAAAATGGCAGAACTGCTGTCACTGCTTTTCCATTTTACTGCTTTTCTGAACAAGACCTTTATGGAGTTGATCTTTAAAGAGAGGCGTATTAGTCAAGAGTGAAATGAAAGAATAATATTAAATGTAAATGCAGACAGTGAAGTTCTTTTGAAAAACATACCTCCTCCCAAACAAACAACTCCTTATCCCAAATCAAACCCCCCAAAACCCAAAAAATGAACCCACTGCTCCATCTGATAGGTAGGAATTCTATCTGTCTCTAGTCAAACAGGTTATAGTTCTCCAAGTCTGAAGTAACAGAGGAAGGGTAATGAATGTGGCTTGCAAGAGAACTTTGTTAAGCAGTGGTGAAGTATATTTATATTGTCTTGGAGAGCTTCTGGAGCTATAGGGTTTTTGAGCAATTCATTGTAATGAAGATCACATGACATTGTTCACTTTTCTCAAAAATCATGTTGCAAAGATTTAACTCTTGGATGTTTAGTTGGAATTTCCTGAAAGTTACTTAAAATGTTGTTTCATGTGAAGTGAAATTTATGAATACTAGAAGTATAACTGGAAAAAATCAAAGGAATACATGGCTTCTAATGTATGTGGAGCTGTTCATTTGAGATGCTATCCTCTCTAGAAGAAGCTGAATTTCTTTATATATTTAGACCTAAAACAATATTTTTTTTAAATTTTAAGATTTAGTTGGAAGTTGGAGTTTACTTGTTTTTATCAGCAATTATTTGCAATTAGTTTATGAGAAAATTTGTGAAAAGTTCATAGTAAGCAAATTCCAGTCAGGCATTCTTGCCAGTAGTAGTTCTTCCCAATTTTTTTTTTTTTTTACAAAGCACTATGAGGGACCTGAGGTTTGTGTAATGAGTGATCAGGTTGTGCAGCCTTTTTTCCTCTTCTCCAGCTTTGAACATAGGAGCTGTACTCATGTTCCTGAATGTGTTGAGCTAGCTAATGAGGAACAGTATAAGTTTGCTTTACTCCCTCTCTGTGCTCCCCCAAGCAGTGAATGAAGATTGTATCATCGTGCTGGGGCATGAAACGGCTGCATTGCACTTCGTGTTTATCTGTGAGTGCAGTTGGAGTGCTTCTAAACATAGTTTTTTCACCAGTTCTTTCAGTAGTCTTGGATGTTACTGTTAACCTAGTAATGAAACAGACATGAAAGTAGTTGTTTTTAAAGGTAGTGATTCCCTTTACAACAGTTTTGTATTACAGTATTTACATGGTGCCTTCCTTGCACAAGGCGTTTCAGCATTTTGCTGTGCGTAATTACAAGGTCATGACAGAACAGGGGGAGTTCACTTGCCTATGTAAATACTGACTCGTGTAAATACTGCTAGAATGCATTTGTTTCCATTTTCTTGTTCAAGTTGTGTCTTACTAAGTAATTTCCTTGCAAATAAGATCTTGATCTGGTTCATTAAAATAGTGGCACGTTCAGTATGTGATTTTTATCTTACATGAGCGCAGGTTCCTGTGCTTTCTGCTGCTGAGCTGCAGTCATTAACAGGCCCCAGAGAAATGTTCCAATCCTGCTTCCTTATTTGTCTGCTCTTTGTTATTAACAAGCACGCAGGCCTGCTTGTTTCCCTCTCCTTAATACAGTACTTATCTATTAATCATCTTACCCTGCTCTTCTCAGTGTTAGTGTGCTTTGTATTCTTTTAGCACCTCCTAAGTTTCCCAGTCGGTGCCAGAGCATTCCAGTACTTAACTGGTGTTGACTTTCCCACCTGGAAGGAAACAGAGGGCTTTTGAGAAGGGTCAAATAATACCAGATTATTTGATTGAAATAAGGTTTATGCACTTATTTCTGGTAAAGTCTTATCTCTTGTGTGGAATTTGGAAGAAGTTGTGCAGCTGAGGAAGCCCGGGGCTTGTCAGATTCCTGAGGGGCAGTTACTTAGTGCTGCTTTGATTATTGCCATGCCCTCTGTCATAGAACCACAGACTAGTTTGGGTTGGAAGGGACCTCAAAGACCATCTAGTTCCAACTCCCCTGCACAGGCAGGAACACCTCCCACTAGACCAGGTTCATGAAAGCCCCATCCAACCTGGCCTTGAACGCTGCCGGGGAGGGATGAAAATAAAAACGACAGCATCATTTTCAAATTGTCTTTCTGTGAAGCAAGTATTTTGGGACAAAAATGATTTCTTTATTGCCGTTTCGATGCTCCATTTTCCCATAAACCCGTATCATGGTTCAGGGCCGCTCTCAGTGGTTTTTTGTAGTTGTGCCGTGACGCCTGTGACAGTTGCCTGTTTCAAAATGATGCAGCGAGTTTGACTGAAGTTGGCAGATCGTGCAGGACCAGTGTTTTCTGCCCTGTTTGCGGGCAGCGCAGGCTGGCGGGAAGCCGTGCCGAGCTGGGGCCGCTCCTGCCCGCCCTGCCGCCCCGTCCCTGCCCGCGCCCTGGAGGTGAGTGCCTGGCGGGTCATCTGGGACCTGGGGAGAGGGGGAGGAGGCTTCGGTGGGAGAACACATTTCTCAAAGCCATTTGGCAATCAGAGGTTACTGCCTTTCCAACCCGCCCTCCCCTGGAAGGAATAATATAGACTTGAGTGTTACCAACCGTCCAGTCGTCACTATAATAATGTTTAATACATTGCTTTACCTCTAGGTTTTCTCTTTAATTTTCATTGATGATGAATTGATAGCTGAAGGACAGTGTGTGGGGTTTTTTCTTTTTTTAATTCTTTTTATTTTCTAAACTTACTGACATGCTTGCTGCCTTTTCACAGTCACTCTCTGTTTTGGACCTTCTGCTAAATCCTCTTTATCTGAATTTTTTTAACAGAAATAAAGCTCCTGCAGCTTTTGTGAGATTTTTTTACTTTTAGTCTGAGTGTTGATGGAAAAACTTCTAGAGCTTATATAATATCACAGCAGACCCACCTGAAACATGACCCAAATGTAAGGCTGTGTTGGTCTTTAATTTCTAATACTTAGTACTTTCTTCTTGAAAACACTGGGTTTTCATGCCTTAAAGGAAAGATTCCTCATGGTGAAAGCTGTGTGAGTATTGCATGCTACAGCTGACATTTCTAATGTGTATTTCTATGTTTTTGCAAGAACAATTTGTGAATTCTGGGGACTTACATCTAAAGCCAAAAAAGATCCCAATACTTAAATCTGTTTTGAGAATGAGATCCTGGCTGTTCTTCCCTGATGTGTAAATTTAATATTTTACCAGGTCAGCTTGAAAAAACAAGGTGCTGTAGCCAAGAGGATACTTCTCCAAAGCATTAGCTTTTAGCACTGAGTGAGGGTTAAGAACAAATCTGTGTAGTTGGATCAGTTCTCCTGTATTTTTAGATTCTATTGAGGTAGCTTCCTGAAAGACCTGTCTTTATTTCCCTGGAGTACTGCTGTTGGCCTAAAACACCCATTACCCTTTTATTCAAAGCTAGATTAACTGTTTTGCTGATATTAATAACCATGAAAGTAGAGCAGCTATTTGTTGATGGGCATTTTAGGTATAGGGGTAGATGACAGAAGACCATATACTTAATTGTATATACCTTGTGGTAGTAGTTTTGGGAACAGTTTCTGTTTATCTTTCTGTGTAACTGAGAAGAATTTTTACTTCCCAAATCATAGAACCATACAAGAAAAAAAAACAAAACACAAAAAACCAAACCCACAACCAACATGTGATTTGACTGTCTGCAATGTCATTGAAAATGGTGTAAGTAACATTTTTGGGAAACATCGTGTAGAGAGGTTGAGCTTTATGTAAGAATAAAGTATTGCATTTGTTCCTGTTACTCCTTAGGATCTTTCCTGAGTTCACAGAATCTTGATTTTAGGCCTGGAGAAGCAAGCTTTCTTCTCCTGAAGTGGGAGGCCACTTATCTAGGGCTGTGCATTAGAGGTAGTATGAGCATGCCAAAACAGAGATGCATTGTCTTAAATGGTGCTGCTTATAGCATTCAGGAGTAGGTACTCCTCAGAGATTCCTCTGCTCTTCCTTTGTATTCCCTTTTTGATCCTTATGTTTGTAAATAACAATCAGCTGGCAGGTTCCAGATGAAGTGTCTGGTGACATATGCTTGTTACCTTTTAAGTCCTCAGACTTAATCATAGGAATCTTGCCTAAAAGGCAGCTCCTTATTTTGTTTAAATTTCTGCACTCCTGGTACATAATGCAGGTAACATACGTCTCTTTTTGTTCATTTTATGATAAAAACTAACCTGCTGCAGTAAAGACATCTTGCAGGCATTGCTGCTCATGAAAAAAACTGGAACTGCTTCACAGCCAGGACTAAATACACAGAATAACCTCTTCAAGATTCTAATTATAAAGTTTCCTCTCTGCAGAGGAGGTCCTAGAAGGCAGACCCAGCCAGTGGTGCTTGAAGGCATTCATGCCTCTTGTTTGCTGCCTCACAATTATGACAGTTTGCTTGGTTACTATAATATTAACCATTGAACTTATAATTAAATAGTAACCATCATAATGATGAAGTGTTTTTCTTTTCAGTTACCCATGGATGTATAGTCTCCACAATCAAATTGTTTCTTCCAGATGGAATGGAAGCTCGATTGCGATCAGAGTAAGAATAAGTATCTATTTATATGTAGCAAAATTAAACTAACAATATGATGAAGATTTGATTAATTTTGTTTAAAATCAGCATATGAACAGCTTATCTTCCTGTTTTCATGCAAAAAAAAATGACAGCATGGTTCTTTTGCAGGCATTATGAATAAGAAATCTCATTTGCTTTTCACTTTTTGAAATTAAAACATATTGAATTAATAAAGTACTTCTTTAAAAGAATAAAGTTCTTACCAGGTTGGGCTTTGCTGACTGGCTGTTGTTTAATGTACTGGAAAAATGTTATAAACAGAAGAATAAGGGGGGGGGGGGGAAGCAAATGAGCATTCTTCTTCCTTTTTTTATTTGGGATAATTATTTTTCCTATTTTTCCTCTTTAAATGCACGTAGAATGTACTAAAGTGAAGTTAGTGTTGTCTGTGTGTGCACATGTACATGTAACACTGTTAATATTCTTCAGGTAAGTAAAACAGTAATATGTCCTTGTAGTGCAGTTATTTGGAGTCACAACGAAAGAAGACTTGGCCTGGCTTGAGGAGAAAAATCATAAACTATGTTGGAATAATGTTGGGAAACTTGTAAATATTGAGTTTTCTGTGTATATATGCACATCTTGGAGAAGATTTCAGAGTACCAGAAACAAAAACATGTAAATGTGTTTTTTTGCAGTAACTGAGTGCCAATTGCAAATGACATAATTTCAATCATCTTTCATCCTCAGTAATTGTATGTTTTTGTTTGCTTGCTTAAATGTTCTTTTATCATTAGTATCCAGAAATATTTGCACGAAGTTTTAAGGTGTCCTTACCTCTGGGAAGATAAATTTTCCATAATAATTTATTTTTACTTTCTATGTAATTGCATGTCCTAGTAAGAAGCAGTAGAAATGTATGGTGTTAAATTTTTTGTTCTGATGAAAATGTGCAAGTGTAATATTTGCTGTAGTGAAAGTGCACAACATTCTGTATGTTACCAAGTATTGATTTACTCTCTTGAGTTTATAAATGAGTACTATATTCACTGTCTTCTCATATCTATTAGTTGTGCATGTAGATTGGTTTAAATCTTAATAAAATTTTTTAAGAATCAAATAGTATGTAGGTACTGAAATAGAGATTAAGTTGGTAAAGAAAGTTCTTAGAATAGACCTTAAAGCTATAATTGGAAAATAATTCTGTAACTTTGAAAACGCTGCTCAGCAGGGTATTAACTTTTTTGCACATTTGTGTCTTAACTCTTCATTTTTATCTGAAGAATAAACTTAAAAATAGAGAGCATCTTGATTAAAAGCACAGTACTACAAACCTGGATTTTTGAACTACTATTCTGCAATTTGTGTTCACTGTGTAATTTTTTTTTTTCAGTGTTATCCATGCTCCATTACCAAGTCCTCTTGACAAGGTAATTCAGTAATTTGCTATGTTTTACCTTCTTACAAAGGTGAAGAAATGGTGAAGTCCCATTACCTTTAGATTTGTTTTCCACTGCCTGCTTTTATCTAGCTTAATATTACAGGTGACATATAAGGTACAGAAGGTAATGCAGTCTCGCAGTGTATATTTTAAGGTAGCTTCACTTCTTCCAGTATGGGCCCTGAAATGTGGCTTTGAAAGAAACCGGTTGATGTTAAGAGTCATGAAGTCAGTAACGTCTAGTGTCATTTTTAAACTCATTTTTGATAGCATGGAAAACTCATAGAAAAGATCTTAATAGATAAGACCGTGAGATAAGTGGCAGGAATTGGTCATTTATCTAGTTTTTAAAAACAGGATTAACTGAAATAAATTCAAATCGTGGTTTTAGATATGAAGAACGAAATCTTGAGAAACTAAGAAAACTGGGAAGTTCTATGAATAAAAATAAATTTAAAAAAAATAATAGTAGGAGAACAATAAGTTACTGAAAAAGCCAGTTGTTAGATAATCTGAAGTGTTCCTTCATGTCTAGGTTAAAATGAATAATTTTGCATTACATGAGTTTAATGAAAAATCCCAAACTATTTTGATACTTAAATTCCTTTTTTTTTAGGTTGCTGCTAACACTCCCAGTATGTATTCTCAGGAATTGTTTCAGCTTTCACAGTATCTACAGGTAACTTTTCTTTTGACATAATTAGTTTTGCTAAATATTTAATCTTTTTTAAAAATCTTATGCTCTGTGTATCTTTGGCTTGTATTTTGTAAACCAAACATGATAAGCATTTAACTACCTTTTTCAGTAGTGAACTAATGTAAAATATTATTGCCCAGAGAGGTGATAGATGCCCCATCCCTGGAAATCTTCAATTTTAGGTTGGACAAGGCTCTGAGCAACCTGATGTGGTTGAAGATGTCCCTGCTTATTGCAGGGGTGTTTGACTAGATGACCTTTAAAGGTCCCTTCCACCCAAAGTATTGTATGATTGTGTTGTAACTTAACATAGTATAGTTCTATAGTATAGGGGCTTTGCATGAGCAGTATGAATTATGACTTTCATAAAAGAAACATGAAAGCTCTCTGTTTTATAGAAGGCTCCCTGAACATCAAATAGCTGCTTTTCCTGGCCTTTCTCCTATCTTGCCTCACTGTCCCCAGTTTCTTTTGGCATCATTCACTGCTGTGTTTTGGTAGAAGAAAAGAAAGGCAAAACGAAATGTCATTTCATGTGTCCAGGGCTAGTTTGTTTCTGTGAATATAGTTTCTCAGTGTGAATATTTCTGTCCCTGTATTTATTGGAAAGTATAAAGGAGGGGACAGTGCTGCTCCTCCTCATTGGTATCACCAGACTTTCTGTGCCTGCTCCTGTGTCAGTTTTAAGTAGCTGTGGTTTTTCCTAAGATGTCGTGTCACAAAAGGGCAAGACTGCAAAATGGCAACATGTTCAAAGTGTAGGCTAATATATATACAGAAACTATTCAGAAAGTATCATAAAATCAGTTTTCTGGAAAGATGTAAAAACATTCTTACTGGCAAATTCTGTGTATATTTATATATAGTGCTACTGACTCAATTTGCCTCTTTTTCATTGGTAGTGGTGATTTTTCTTTGTTCGCATCCATGAGGCCTTTGAGGCAAATACTAACAGTGTATCTATTTGCTGACATACCTGGAAACAACTCAGGCAAAAATGCTTTTTTTGGAAGGCCACATACATATGTGGTCACCAATCTGTTCACTCTGTGTCTTGAAATTGTTAATGAAGATGCTTTTCTATCTTACTGTCATAAAACAAAAATAGTGGTTCTTTTTTTGGCATTTTTCTTCTGTGACCTGATTTCAAGATGAACAGCTCATTGCAGGGGAGCTGCCAACCTGCCTTTTGGTGTTCACGGTTTTGTGACTCAAATTACTGACAAAAGTCGGTCTTGGAAAGAATGACTTGTTACTATATGTAGTCAGCATGTGCAACATATGCATGGAAGATAAAGGTTTTTAGGAACCCAAAGTTTTAGGATAGCATTTTCAAATGAAAATATCAAAATAAATGTTTGGTTGGACAAAATGGATGGACTTCTTAGTTTGGAATATGTGACAGTGTTTGCTTCTCACACTTCCTTTTCTTGTATTTTGGTATCTTATGTTGCTTCGATTTTTCTCAGTTATCCTAGCTGAACTAAAGGATGCTCTGCTCTCTTCATAGGAAGCCTTACATCGGGAACAAATGTTGGAACAGAAGCTGGCAACCCTTCAGCGACTACTTGCTGTCACACAAGAGGCTTCAGATACTAGTTGGCAGGTATCTGCAGGCATCCTTTTCCTTGATGAACTGAAATACACAGTAGTGTGTAAATTGTAGCTATTAATTGACAAAGAATGGGGAAAAACAGCTGAAAGAATGACGAGCTTATGGCACTTCTCTTAAACTGTGCAAAATACAATATTTAATTAAATTAGTAATTATATACCAGTTTGAAATAATATAAGTACTCCAACAAAATTAAAGTCATAAAAGCAGAACTGTACTGGAACTGCTCTAAGCACATGCTGATGCTAAAGTGATTCTTCTTGTTTGCTAGGCTTTAATAGATGAAGACAGGCTGCTATCAAGATTAGAGGTTATGGGAAACCAATTACAGGCATGTTCAAAGGTAAGCAGTTCACTTAAAGATGGATGCTGGGAATGCTGAAAGATAGCTCCTCTGAAGTGTTTTGAAATTAGCTGGTTATAGGAAAGCAGTTGGAAGATAACATTTCTGAAATAAGCTTGTGCAATTTTGAAAATCTGAACAGCATGAAAACTAAATCTGTTCTGTATTTCATGGAATAATTTTAAATCTAGATAAATGGCTATTTTTCAGTGTTTGGTTTTCTTTGGCGTGAATCAGTTTTTTGTATATTCATATAAAAATGTATGTACTGAAATGAAGAAAAGAAATTCCTGTTGTTGGTGAGAAGCAGCCGTTTTGTTTCCTATGGATGTTTCTTTCCAAATAGGGATTTGAAAAAAGGCATCATCAGTGAGCTGTCTGTCAGAGCAGCAAGTATGTCCAGCTTGATTGTTGTTTAGGCCACCTATGCCTGCTTCAGATATTTTTTTTTTCTCCTAATTTCTCCCAACTGCCTACATTACAAGAACATTTTTTTGCAGATCCTGTTTGAGGAATTTCAGATGGGACCTAATAGGTCTCTGGTTTGTCAAATTGTAGGTCTCCTAGGCTTGACAGTGTCCAAAAAACCCTACAGAGTTTTCCTATGATGAAAGCTGATAATTGCCTGAGTGCTGCCATACATACACCTCTTTGATCACTAATTTGTCCATAATATTTTTACATCTACCAGAAATTACTAAATGTTTTGGAATAGAACAGGTCTTGTGATGATCCAGTATATTTAATCAGCAAAATGCTAATTTACCTTCTGTCTTGGTATCTCAATTGTCTTGTATGTACAGAATCAAACGGAAGACAGTATACGAAAAGAGCTTATAGCATTGCAAGAAGACAAACACAATTATGAGACAACAGCCAAAGAGTCCCTGAGGCGGGTCCTTCAGGAGAAAATTGAAGTGGTCAGAAAACTGTCTGAAGTGGAGGTATTGAAGTTTCATGTCTCGTGTTCTGAAAATGCTGAAATAGTTGTAACTGCTGCTTAGATCCCTGTTTTGTTACTTGTAGTACACCAGTGTTTATAGTCTTGTGGCACTTGCAGTATATTAGGTAGTAGTGTTTATTTCTCCTGTTGGACAATACTTAAGTTTGTTAAATAGTTAATGAGAAACTATTCTTTGAACTTCTTTTTCTGCCAAATTTCAAAATTTGTGAAGCTGAACAACAGTGTGTGTGGGAAATAAGTGACTGGAAAGCGATATACATACATTAGAAAAAGTGCTCTTGGATAAAGTTTAAACTGTAAAATTTATGGCAACAAGCTTAACCACTCATACAAATTACACTTAAGAATGTGTTTTTGACATTATGAAGTGTGAGACACTTTCTTCAAATATGATGTTTGCCCTATAATATCTCTCATTACTATCTTTTACTTTATTTTCTCTTTCCATTATCACTATTTGTTAAGTACCCTTAGGTCATGATTAAGTGCTCAGTGTCTACCCACTTCATGGTTTATAGAGAGTGCAATGCACATAATGCTGTAATAAATAACCTCAGGAGATTGCAGTTCAATGCCCCTTACTGTATTGTAATAGTTCTTGACAGCTTTGTTGATGGCTGGTGTTTTATGTTTGCTTCTAGCTTTCTTTTCCTTTTCAACATTAGAATAAGAGAAGAATTTTCTGACTTACTTACACGTTTTCCTTTTTATTTTGACTTTTGGGGCAGAAATATTAATTCAAGTATGAGACTTGCTTGAGTGATTCCTGCCACATACTTCTTTTTCCACACAGAAGAATCATTGGTTCCCAATTGCAAGTTGTCTTTTAATATTTAATATATAATGTAGCTTTGAATGCACTTTTTAAAAAAATTATTTGGTCTGTTCTGATGGTGAAGAACTAAGCTAGAGCTTGGTACAAAGAAAATAAAAATTGAATTACTGAAGAAACAAATATTGAGCTGTGAGGAGGAAGCTCTATGCACCATTTAGTTGTGCTGCTTTCACCAGCTGATGCAAACTTATGGAGCATTTCTTGCCTCCTGAAGACACAGCTGCCTCTTGAATTTAGATGCTTTTCCACGTTATGGGGTTCAGAAGAAGATTTAGAAAACTGCCTTGGAGCCATTTGGCTCATATGATGTGTTATATCTTATTTTGCTGGGTGAAGGGTATGAAAAAATCTCTTAAATACGTTGAATCAGAATATATTACAGAGCTTCCACAGTTTATCATAAAACACAAGAGAATGGGGAGAATCACACATTCCAGTTCTTAAAGTACTATTAGTTGTATAAAAAACACCCCATACTGTGGGTTTTTTGGTAGGGTTTTTTGGTTTTTTTTACAAGTGTGGGGCAAATGTCTTTTGACATAAGCTGTTCTTCAAGTAGAAGAACATTGCAAAGGTTTGTATAGGTCATGTTTTTACCAGGACTTGATCGGCTTGTTTAGCTTTACTGATTAGGAACAAAATGGTTTTTGGAAAAAAATAGATCAACTTCAGCCTTAGGCAGATTTAGTCTCTTTTTTAAAATTAATTCCACAATAATTCTGTCTTACAGAGGAGCTTAAGTAATACAGAAGATGAATGTACTCACCTGAAAGAAATGAATGAGCGGACTCAGGAAGAATTAAGAGAATTAGCTAATAAGTACAATGGAGCTGTAAATGAAATTAAAGATCTTTCAGACAAGCTAAAGGTAATGACAATTTCATCTGACTTGTGATGATAATGTAATGCATGGAGCAAATAAATAAAATGTAATTTCTAATGTAGCAACCAAGTAAAGGCTAAGAAACTTTTTAAACAGTAGGTAAATGAAAGAGGCACATTGTCTCTTATTATTTTGGTTTACATTTAATGAACTTCAAAGTGTCATCAGTGAATTAATTTGCTGAAAATATTCCCTTTTCTTAAAGCTACCATAATTATAGAGCTGCAATATATTTAGATTATGTATGATATAAAACTTTATATTCACCTGCTTATATAATGCAAATAACTTTCAACTTAAACATCTTCCAGTTAATTGGAATGAAAACTAGAATTAGAAATAAATTTTCATTTAATGCTGCCTCTTTGTGCAGTTGGAAATCTAACTAGCCTACCATTTTTAAGGTCCTTTTTGCTGGGAAAGAAAATAATCACTATGTGATAAATCCTGTTCCCAAAGAGTCTCTAGTCTAGATAAGTGAAAGATGTGGAGGAGTAAGGTAGTTGTTTTCTCTTAGTAGACCTGAGACAGTTGTTGCATTTGTCTTGGATAAATGCTGGAATTTGAACTTAGGTTCTTTGAATCCTAGCTCAAGACAGAAGATTTTTCTTTCCAAATTAAAATAAATGTTAAATTGCTGACCTGACATCCATTGGTTTTCTAATAATGAGTTAATCGCTGCTGCTGAGTATACACAGAAGGATCAAAATTTAAACTTACTACTCAGCTTCAAGGGAGGGGAATCTTTGAAACTTGTTATAATGAAGTTCAGCAAGGAAAAAGACATGGCTTTCAATAAAGATGATCTGTGCAGTGTGCATTCAGTGCAGAAGGCCTCTTGAGTTTTGATTAATTTGAGATGCTGGGAGACTTCTAGGTGTTTTGTAGCCCTTGTACTGTTCCTGTAAAACTTGGATTCCTCACACAAAAAGTTACCTGAGATATTTTGAGATTCCTTCTCATTATTATTGTGCTTGAAGTGAAACTTACAGAAAAATAACAGCAGAAATTTTGCATTGGCGGCATTTTTTTTTACTAGCAAAGGAAGTTACTTAGTTATACAAAAATCAAGAATATCTATTCTGTTACATTTTAATTTTTATTTGCTTGAGGATTTCTCTAATATTTTTTTGAGCAGGTAGCAGAAGGAAGACAAGAAGAAATCCAACAGAAAGGACTGGCTGAGAAAAAAGAACTGCAGCATAAAATAGATGAAATGGAAGAGAGAGAGCAAGAGCTTCAAGCAAAAATAGAAGCTTTGCAGGCTGATAATGATTTCACCAATGAGCGACTAACTGCTTTACAAGGTTAGTCACCAATGGGGAAGAAACTTTGATTATTTGTTTTTCTTTTAACCTGTGAAATATCTTTATCTTGGACTTTTGTTTACAGTACGGTTAGAACATCTTCAAGAGAAAACTCTTAAAGAACACAACAGCTTAGGTAGGTGTGATCAGTTTCTTGTTTCAAGCTGGTTCCAAGATTTTTCTGTTCAATTACTTTTATTATAATGGAGTCTAGGCGTCTGGCAAAAGAATAATGTTTAACAGTTATCCCAGTAGTGCATTCTCCTTGGTATTGCTTCTTCACATCGAAAGCCGTGGCCTCAGCAGAGTGCCAGCAGAGGGCACTGCTGTTGCGAGTGTCCAGACTTGTGGGTCATTGCTCAATTCAGTGCTGTTTGCGCCTGGGTTCCAACATTTGGAAGGTGTTTAAATACATTTTACATAAGGGTTGTTTGTTGTTTTTAAAATGTAATCGGCAGTAATTCTTTGGATGATAGTAACCTCTGTTTGAACAATGAGAAATATGATCTGTAGTGCAGGAAAACATGTTAAATTTTGCCTGTTTTGATTAGACACTTAAAAGAAGGAGATGATATGAAAAGCCAGATGCATTTCACAGTGCTGTATTTATAAAGAAACAAAACCCAAAACATTTTCCTTGGTTCCAGAAATAATACCCTTTCTTAATCCTAGGCATACAAGTTGATGACTTCATACCTAAAATTAATGGGAGCACAGAGAAAGGTAGTGTATCTTAAGGCTACCTTTTGTCTTATGGTTGATGTTTGAAGCTGAACATATTCAAAATGTTCTCTGAAGTTTTACTTTGAATAATACTCTCTTGAAAAATGAAATTTAATTTGTCCATTCCTTTGACCAGCATTTTTTTGCTTAAGACTTCCAGTTTAGGTGTTTTTAGAAAGTTCTGTAAAGCATAATGAGCCAATTTGGAAGTTGTCTGTCTTTATATTTTGCTGCTGGAATCAATAGGAGTTGACTGAATGTCAGGCTTGTGACACAAGTAGAAAACTCACTGGCTTTTTTCCTCTTAGCTTTGTTTTCCCTTGCAACATAGACATGCACCTTTTTTCTAGTAAGTTGGGTATTGTAAGTCAAGCCAGCAAAACATTTTTTTCTAACTATATGACATGAAAGAAATGTGAGTAAATGAAATATAGAAATAGTGGAAACTAGTTAAAACTCAGGAGTGGCTTTATGTAGAACAGGAATGAAGACAGATTGAACTGAGGGCGTTTTTTTTTTAAGAGTAGTTAAGCTAGGTATTTTAACTAATGGGTCTTAAAATATACTTGACGTTTTTGGAGTAAAATTGTCTGATAAGACTATGTCCAATATTATGTACAGCAAGGATTTTCTAGCTAGAATTTTGAGTTCACTATATTGTTCCATTGGCTAAGATACACTTGGCATCTTATGTTAATTTTTTCTTGGATGAAGCTTTCTTCACAATTGGCTTTGTTGTGCTAGATGGCAGGAGCTCTGAAGAGTGGTGGTAGTTTTAGTTGTAAGGTTGGGAAATTTATATAGAGGACTTGTGTTTTTAATATTCAGAGATAAGGATTACTGTATACAGTTCTGAAACAAAATTCTTAGCTGTAGTTATTAACTTTTAGCCTTATTTTGGTATTATAAATGAAGTGTCTTAAACAGGGACACTAATAGCAATATAAAATAAATTAATCATGGCATAACCTCATGTCTATTTCTTACTGAGAGCAGGAGGAAAGATCAATTTAAATACTGACAAACTGTTCAAAAAACACCCCTTAATCTGAATACTTAGTTATCCCTTAATGTCTTACCATTTTAGGTACTTGGCTACTATACATGCTGAGAATAGCAAGCAGGAGACTTGGATGTTTGTTCCCAGTTCTCTGGACTGCTGCACTTTGTTCTTAGATTGACACGCACTGTCTTGTCAAAGTTAAAGAAGCAACGCCTTCTTGACTGACTTTGGATTGCATAAGAGTCAAAATGTCATCTGGATAGATGCATGAAAGTATAGATTCTTCCTTCCTATGAGTAAAAGTAGGACTTGAGCATAAACATGGGAGTTCTAGGAAGGTCTCTGCCAATTTCTGTTTATTAACATAGACAACGTATAACTGCTCATTCAAGTTATGATTCAGTGTGTTTATACAGTCTCTCCTTTTTCTTTTGTGCATCTACCATGATATTTTTTTAAATCTGTATTTTAGCATAGTTTTCCAGGTTTCTGTTATTCTGTCTGTTCTGCCTCATTCTTCTGCATCTCTGCTATACCTGGTCCATCCACATTTCTCTGGCGTTTTAAAGCTTGCTGGCCTGTGTTCTCTTCATGACAGTCTGTGCCTTTCTGTGTCATCCTGTCCTTTCTATAGCACTCATAGCGACAGATGGCAAGCAACTTTCACTGCCAGATTCTGGATTTTGTTCTCTTAAAAGCAGCAGAAGGCAACTCTGGTTTTGGGTTGGTTTTTTTTGTTTTGTTGTTGTTGGGTTTTTTGCTGAGTAGTCATGCATTATTTTAAGAGCTAAGAATTTAGGGTTTATAATGTAGATTGAGCAACTCTGTCAGTGAAAGAGGTTGCAGATATTTTGCATAAGGGAAAGACTTCACAGTTCAAGGCAGAAGTCAGAAATTAAAATTTTTTTGTACTAGATGGCCTGCAAGGGAATTTAAAAGTTCTCTCTATCTGTATAGAAAGGTGTATACACTGTCCATCCCACTTCTCTTGTCAGAGGGAAGTGATGGTAAGATCATGTAAAATCAGTATGTTTTAAAGATTCCTTTTCTCTCCTTCTCTTTCTCAAAACATCAGGTCAGGGCCTCAAGGTGTGTCTCTAGGCATACTGCCTGGCTGTTGCAAGAATAAAGGTTTTACATTACTTTTTTTCTGTGGCTATCCATAACAATAACAGAGCTGTACTTCAAGTAGGGGAACGAAGAACACATGTTATAGTCTCTCTTGAGTCTTTTTATAGCAAAGTGTATTAAAATAATGATGGTTAAGCATTTATTTTCTCTTACTGCACATATGGAACTTCTGGTGCAGAAGCCAGAAACTTCTTATACATCAAGCCACTAATAAAGGTTGTGTAGAAATGAGTTGTTGAAATAAGTGGGATGTTTCTCGTTGAGTTGTGTTATACCTGGCTCTTATATTTGTTTTGTGAGCTGCATATTGTATAAAGGAAAACATGAGAAATTCCTATAAAGTCACTTAGAGGATCATATAAAAAGGCAAAAAAAACCCGCAAAGTTTAAATATTGAAAATAAATGCTTTAGCCATGGTGCTGTCTCTTAAAAGCCCTGCCCTTGTGGGTTAGGAAAGAATTTGCTTTTTGAAGTAACTTTGGAATGTAGTAAAGCATAGTATTATGTATTTGATCTTAACAACTAAGCTTCTGATGTCAGAAGCTAATGACTGAACAATTTTGTTAGAATGTAACACATTTTGCTGGTTTGTGTACTAAAAATCAACCTTTTCAAATTTAAGATTCTTAAGGTCAAAGGACTTTTGAGGCTCTTCAGAATGTGTTAGCACCTTTTTACTTGAAGAGGCAAGCTTCTGATGGTGTTGGGAGCTGAACAAGGTCCTATAAAAAGATTTGGGTAAACCTGGAAACTGAAATCAGTTTTAAGGTCTCTGCTGTAGGTAGAACTATCCTTCTTCCAAAAATTGTCAGTGCAGGGAAACTTTGTTCAAAAAATAAAGGAAGATCCTCAGCAACACTTGGAAAATAAATGCATTTCAGTAGGGTATTAAATATGGATAATAAAATGAGGTCCAAAGAAAACCTTAGTAGATGTCCTTTTAAAGCTAATAAAATGCTGAAGAATACAGGTTAAACATGTTTCATTTCTTCAATGTGTGGATTTGGAATTTGGAATTGTCCATCTCTGATTATGAATTGTAAAATGGGAAGAACTAGAGACATCAGTGCTATGGAGTTACATGTTTCAATAGTGCATCATATGTATTCTAAATGTAATATGATTTAAGTATCACTTATGTGCATTAATCTTTTTGCCTAAATTATGAATTTGTCCGTTTAGTGGAAGTCATTTTGTCACCACCTAACCTGTGAGAGCAATACAGCAAATGCCAAATGCAGAATGTTTGGTCTTTTTATAATTGGTTCTTAATTTTTTTTTTTTTAATTAGACTGGGTATTAGGAGTTTGTTTTTTTTTCACAGAAAGAGTTGTTAGACACTGGAATAGGCTGCCCAGGAAGGTGGTTGAGTCACCATCTCTGGATGTGTTTAAGGGTCGTTTGGATGTGGTGTTGGTGGATATGGTTTAGGGGAGAACTTTGTAGACTAGTGATGATGGTTGGACTCAGTGAACCCAAGGGTCTTTTCCAGCCTGTATAGTTCTGTGATTCTATGAAATAAAGGGGTATTTTTAAAATGGCTTCTTTTGAGATAAGAGGCTTTTTATTATACTTAAGAACTGCTCTAGATTTTAATATTTTTAAGTACCCCTTGAAAACACAGTTAAAGTATCTCTTCTTATCAGTTGAAACGAGTAATTATTTTCTAATATCACTCAGACATAATTTCAATTACATTTTGTCTGCTTGCTTTTTGACTCAGATTTCAAAAGCTCACTGTAAATACACAATTACAAATATTGTTAATATTCCTTTCAAATTTTTTGTTGTATCCATTTGAGAATGGTAAGAAGATGTAAACTTAAGTGTTTCTTTCTTTACTAGAGCACTTTCTTTCAAAGAGTGGAGGGGACTGCACTTTTATTCATCAGTTCATAGAGTGTCAGAGTGAGTACAAGAGTGTTCATCACATTTGTTTTAAAAACAACAGAAAGCACAGATAAGGTGGAAGGAAGCCAGAATTTATCACTACTATTTAATATGTTAATAAGTAGCAGAAGTTTTCTAAGCATGGAATGATGACATTAAACAGGCTTCTGTAGCAGTATCTTTGCTCTTGCAAAGCGATGATCACATTGTCTCCTCTTAGAAGTTAATCCATTATTGTCCTACTAATAAAAGGATGGTGATGTTGCCACATGACATTTAAAACTGAGTGCACTTTTTACCTGTTACAAAGTAAAAATTTGAAAGTGTAACACTGTCAGTTTAAGCAAACATCACAGGCAGCAGTAGGACAGAGATAAGGGAATGATGCCTTCATTCCAAGTGTCTATTAAAGGTCTCTACATATTTTCAAATTAGTTGTTACAAAGGGAAAAAAAAGGGAAATGGCCTTAATTTTTATGTGGGAATCTGAAAGATTCTTTCAAGAAAAATAGAACAAATAATAAGCAGTACTAGGCTTTAGAAAGATGTGTTATTCTGGAATAAGACTTTTTTTAAAGCAAATTGCTTTTGAAAATGAGTAAGGAAACAGCACAGTCTGCATATCTATAGTTAAGGAGAAACTTAAGATACCAATACTTTTTGTCCACTGGGTGAAAAATATCATTAGGATGAAGAGAAAAAAGTGCTGTTAAAATTCAGAGAAAAACTTCTTAGCCAAGAGGATTATTCTTTGACTTAGGAGTTTACAGAAATTAGGTACGTAAAGTTGAACAGAGGGGAGTATTTATAAGCAGAAGCAAGACCATACTTTTTAAAATTATGCCCATTGGACTCTTCCCTTTTAAATTTCAACAAGGAAAGTATAACAGACTTGTTTTTCCTTTGCTCCTTCTTATATTGCTTGCAGTGCTATACATTGAATGACAGGGTACAGTTAATGTTTGCTTAAGAAAACAAACTATGTCATTACATTTTTCCTGATTGTGAAGTTTTTTTTATCTATGATTTTTAATGCAAGTAATTTTTTTTAATTTATTTTTTTTAACTAACATTGCCTTTGACTTTTTTTTTTTTATTTACTAATATATAATGGAGTAGTGTTTGGATGGGTTGAATGGCTATTTTCAACTTTTCAAGGAATTTCTGACCTGGATGTAATAAGTAAAGTTAAAGCTGTTAGTATAACTAGTTTGAGATGGTTTGAAATGTGTTTGGGTCCAGGTTCCTTTCATTGGTCTTCAAAACTGGCCTCTTTCAAAGAATAGTTTGATTAAAAAAAATCCCAAACATGCACTGGGGTGTGTTCCTTTAAGTGATCATTGTAGTGTTAACAGATCTGAACTATTGTATTTTGCACAGTGATAGACAACATAAATCTTAAAGGGAGTTCTTAAAGTGAAAAGATTGGAAATTCCTGAAACACTAAAGAAAAGCTGCCTTGGAAGTGCACAAAGAAGCACAGGCTATCTTAAAAGATGAACTGAAAGCTTAACTTTTAAAGCAGATTGTTTCAGTAACTATTATTAATTATTATTGTTATTATATGTATCAGTATCTCTTTCCTTTTTTTAAAGTAGCTACTGCATAGCATGAAAGATAAAAATTATTTGTGCCAGAAATTGAAGCTAAGATCCTGACCCTAATTTTGGTAGCAAAAAATATGTATCTTGATTTAGGGAAAATGCAGATTGATTAAAAAATATTAAAAAATCAAATTTATGAATGTTTTCTGAAATAGTAATATGAAAATATACAGAGATCTGAAAAAAGGGAAGTTTTAAAGATACAGACATTTCTGCTTTTACTTTGTTGTCTGGGTTCTGCTGGGTTTAGTGACTATGGTGGCAACAGTGCAGAATAAAATTATATTTAGTTCAATGACATCAACATGCCATTTTCTGCTTATTATCTAAATATACATAGGCATGCTGAAATTATTTTTGTTGGCTTTGAAATATGCTAATGCTAGCATTCATAAAACACAAATTGCTTACTTTCTTGGGAAGTTAAGGGAGATGCCAGCCATCAAGTGAAAAATCCTGGCAGTACCAGCTTTGGCTCATGCTGGGCAGGGGGATTGTGTGTTACTGCTGAAGGTCTTTGCTGAATAGAGTCAAAAAGAAACCTGTAGTACAAATGCTCAAGTTCATAGTTAACATTAGGAAAGGGTAATCCATCATGGAAAAGAAAAAAAGAAAGGTCTGCAGATTTTATTTTTTTTTAGTCTTAGGAGCTGAGAATTTTTTAAAGTGTGAAGAGGTGTAAAGGTTTCAGCTTGGAAAAACATCTGGCCCAAGAAGACTGGTTTCTTTGTTTTGTACTGTAATTATTCTGCTTTTAACAGTCACTAAGTTGTGAAACCTCCAAGGTCCATCGATTCATAATACTAAGTTTTCTTTTATAAACTGATTATAGAAGCCTATTTTAAGATAACAGGCCAGCATAGATGAGGTGTGACCTTTCAGATGAAGCAGGTGATAGCTACTTTGAGTGTATGGTTTTTGCCTTCAGCTGATTTTTTTCAGATATACAGTTAGAATTGCTCAATTGCATTCTTGCTGTCTTCCTCCCCATGCCCCTTCCAGCCTTAGCTGAGTCCTGGAATAATCACATATGAAGTCTTTTGTTTAGATTTTAAAAAATATTTCTATTTAACGGAAGAGGACTCATCACTCAGTAGCTCTTTACTTGTGGCTGCAGTAACTTGATTCCCTCTGTGGTGCCTTCTTAAGTTTAGGTATAGTGACACTCCAGCTCTGACAAACTCAAGGCTGTTCTCAAATTGGATGATGAGTGATCTCCTACAGTTGCTTGAGACCTGAAGCCAGTCCTGAAAATCCAGTGTGCCCTTTAGTGTATTTCTGAAGCAGTACTTTTAAAATGCTGTAGGAATGCAGAACAATATTTGTAGATTTGGAGGGAATATCTCTTTTAGACTGGTTTGTCTGACTGGTGGGGCAGGGAGCAGAGAGGACAGGCTTTTGGCCATGTAAGCCCTTCTTCAGACCTCAGGGATTTTTTTGTCTGAAAGCTTCTTTTTAGGGTTGAAAAAGACATTTCCATCCAAATAGCATCCTGCCTCTGTCCTTAGACTGTCATGGCTATGACAACATGCCATCTGGGGAGTACTGAGGCTTCTTGATCTTCAGTTACTTGTAGCTGGAAATGCTGACTAAAGCTCACTGTTTTTTTACTAAAAAAATTGAGAAGGATTTAACATCATCCAGCTTCCTTAGACTGAACTCTTCTGTGTGCGCTGCTTCTGCAGCCTTCTCAGTTCCCTGCAGATGGTGCATGGGGTGACAGCAGGGAGAGCACAGAGTGGGGAGAGAGGCAACTTCAAGCCTAGTGCTTCAGTGGGTGTTGACAGCTTTCATTGTCTAAATGGCAAGATCTACTTCATAGAGATTGATGATGTGATCTGTAAGATATGTGACCCTCGATTTTGCATGTTGCCATGACTGTTAAGGAATTTCAAATAATGAAATCTCTGAAAAAGAAATTAATTTACTGGTTCGGTAGTTCTTCTAGTGTCTGATTAACCCAAACCTGTTCTTCCCTGGTTACTGTTTGCCATCCTGTCATGACTGGAGTTAGGATGAAGTTAGAAATCTAGTCTCAAATTCCATCTTTTAGGTTTTTATATACCTGATATACATGAAAAGACTTCCTTGTATACACTGTATGTAAACTCAATTTTTGTGAACCTGAATGTGATGCATATACAACTTTCTGGAAGTCTGTGCAGTTCTCTGAAAGTTATAAGCCAAGAAAGGCTATTTCTGTGTACCTTTCATAGGCACTGTTAAAACTTGTGATTTGGAGTTGATTTCTCAATTGTTTTACTGTGGAATATTTCTAGATTTCAGTTTCAGGCAACCAGCACTTAGAATTCCTTTTTTTATAGCTATAACTTGAGAAATGTATTAATCATTTATGATCCAAGTTAGATTTTTTTAAAAGTTCATAACCATTAATTTTCCTAACTTCTCATTAGTGAACTGAAGCATTAATAATGTAAGCTAATAAATTGCAGAAGAAATAATTACACACTTTATCACATAGTTCCAGGAGGCTTGTGTGCTCTGTGTCATTTTTCCATGCCAGAATAAAGTTTTTGTTCATGCCTGAGTAGGAAGTAATATTATCAGCTTTTAATTTGGTCATGGAATGTAGCCTACGTAGATGTGTGCAGGGAAAAGCTTGCTTAATTTGAGCTTGGAAAGTAATGCTTATTTTGTTTGGCAGACAAGATCATAGATGAAGGACATCTAGCAAAAGTTGAAGAAACAAAGCTTTTGAAAGGTTAGATTTCTGGATTATTTCACTGGTTTTGAAGCATGTTTTTTATGTCATTTCAGTGCATGTTCTGTCTTAAGCTAGCAGTTTGGGTTCTCGTGAATGCTCAAGAAACAAAATTAATGAAGGGAAGGTACATTGTTTACTGAACTCTGCTTCCAATACTAATGTAGGGTTAAAACAATGTGAAGAAAGCAATTTGAAGATGGAGTACATGAAATACTGGTCTCAGTTTTGACCGAGTTCTTATCTGAATATGCATGTTTAAAAAAAGTTGTAATCTCTTATTGTAAATTGATTTAGGTCTCTAGTGTCTGCATGGGTTTCAAACATGCTTTTGTTTTTATTATAGGGATAAATAGAAATAATGTTTGGTCTCTAAGTTTTAAATAGAAGTGTATTTTAATTTGACTTTTTTTCTAACTTACACCCGTAAAACTTCAAAGTTATTACTAACTCCCTAAATGTACTTCTACCAAGTAAAATAAAAATGTGCAGCTCTAACCTTTTTATCCTTTGTGTAAAGCAAGTAAAATACAAGGAATTAATTAGAAAATATTTATGTTGTCAAGGAACAGTTATCCTTATCTTGCTGTGCCAAAATCAGGAATGTTGCAAAGTGTGTAGATCAATATTTCCTGTGTGTCTAATAATGTAAGATTGTTTGGATTTGTAGGCTGACTCCACTTATATAGCTTTTTATTCATGTCTAGACATAACTGATTAATTTACTCTGTCCTTCTGCAACATGTTATTGTATTGAATGTTAGTGTGTTAAAAGTTCTGGTATTTTAGAGATTTTTCACTTTATCTTCTCTTACTTTAATGCATGAAATTGCACCTTGTTTCTGCTCGTAAGCTATAGGCTACAGATGCCATATTTGGCCACAGAATGCATACAATAACTGTAATGTAACACTTGCATGCCAGCTATCTTGCAAAGCAGTGAGCTATTTTTAGTGCTTGTTAATATATTCTAACTCATCAAGAAAGAATGATGTCAACACATTTTAATATACTGCATCATTTTGGCTATATTTATTCAGCTCAGTTTTATTACGGGAAGTAGGGACAACTGCTGTGAAATAATACAGTGCAGGAAAGAGTTTTGTGCTTATGACTGTGGTTCCAGAATAGGAAGCAGGTTTCTAAAACATTTCTGGTTTTGACTTCTGCTGTTTCAGATGTAGAAACTGATGCATCTTTTCTCTAGTGCCTAATCTTCTTTCTTGTTTCAGGGGGAGGAGGGAAAGGAGAGAGGAAAAAGCTGGTGTACCCAAGGGTGGGTGGGAGGGGGGTTAAAACAATGTGAAGAAAGCAATTTGAAGATGGAGTACATGAAATACTGGTCTCAGTTTTGACCGAGTTCTTATCTGAATATGCATGTTTAAAAAAAGTTGTAATCTCTTATTGTAAATTGATTTAGGTCTCTAGTGTCTGCATGGGTTTCAAACATGCTTTTGTTTTTATTATAGGGATAAATAGAAATAATGTTTGGTCTCTAAGTTTTAAATAGAAGTGTATTTTAATTTGACTTTTTTTCTAACTTACACCCGTAAAACTTCAAAGTTATTACTAACTCCCTAAATGTACTTCTACCAAGTAAAATAAAAATGTGCAGCTCTAACCTTTTTATCCTTTGTGTAAAGCAAGTAAAATACAAGGAATTAATTAGAAAATATTTATGTTGTCAAGGAACAGTTATCCTTATCTTGCTGTGCCAAAATCAGGAATGTTGCAAAGTGTGTAGATCAATATTTCCTGTGTGTCTAATAATGTAAGATTGTTTGGATTTGTAGGCTGACTCCACTTATATAGCTTTTTATTCATGTCTAGACATAACTGATTAATTTACTCTGTCCTTCTGCAACATGTTATTGTATTGAATGTTAGTGTGTTAAAAGTTCTGGTATTTTAGAGATTTTTCACTTTATCTTCTCTTACTTTAATGCATGAAATTGCACCTTGTTTCTGCTCGTAAGCTATAGGCTACAGATGCCATATTTGGCCACAGAATGCATACAATAACTGTAATGTAACACTTGCATGCCAGCTATCTTGCAAAGCAGTGAGCTATTTTTAGTGCTTGTTAATATATTCTAACTCATCAAGAAAGAATGATGTCAACACATTTTAATATACTGCATCATTTTGGCTATATTTATTCAGCTCAGTTTTATTACGGGAAGTAGGGACAACTGCTGTGAAATAATACAGTGCAGGAAAGAGTTTTGTGCTTATGACTGTGGTTCCAGAATAGGAAGCAGGTTTCTAAAACATTTCTGGTTTTGACTTCTGCTGTTTCAGATGTAGAAACTGATGCATCTTTTCTCTAGTGCCTAATCTTCTTTCTTGTTTCAGGGGGAGGAGGGAAAGGAGAGAGGAAAAAGCTGGTGTACCCAAGGGTGGGTGGGAGGGGGTTAATAGGAGGGAGGTGGGCAGAGAGAAAATTAATTCTGCGGTTGGAACTTGCACTGTTCTTTCTGAGCAAGAAAGCTGCATTTCCATGTATGACCAGATATGGTGAAGTTAGCTGGATACAGATATTGCTCAGCTTAGCACTTCTGGGTTGGTCACTAATACAAGCAACATGGGTGAGGCTTTTAGGAGCTACTTTTCTTAATTCTTTAAAAAGAGTGTATTACCTGGTTTAGTAATTCTTAGTATTTTAATGGCAATCTTATGAGCTTGATTCTATACAATACATGTAAAATGCTTTGTGTTGTAACGTCTGTAGATATTAGTTAAAACTGGTCTCCTAAAAATAAGAAAGCATACTTTTTGTTTTATCTGAGAACCACCCCCAAACTCAAGTTTTTAACTGCTGCAGTCATTAGGACCTTTGAAGTGTGTAGGAGTCACATGAGATCTGTTTGGAATAGCTGCTAGATCTGAACCCCCTTCTGCTCTTAGTGTTCAGGTGCATTCCCCTTCTTCCTCTCCAGTGATTTCAGTTACATTAAGACAGGAAGAGTCTGGCTCTTGATCAGGTGCTTTGTTTGTACTTGCAACTTCTGTTTAATGTATAAGTGGATGTTAATTTGGCATGGAGAAATAGAAGACTTTTCATGTTAGATGAAGAAAACTTTTTTTCAGTATTAACCTGCCTGTGTTTTGTCATCTTGCTAATTTCTCACTGCAAGTGCATAGGTTGTTTTCACTTCCCATTTAACTCCTTTCATTTTAGAGATGTTGAGTCCTGTTTCTTCTCTTACTTTAAAAAAATTAGGAAGCTTGTGTGCATTTACTCCTTTGTTTTTTACATGTTTTCATATATTAACCCTATTGCTATAGCACGATTTATTTTGTGCTGTGCGTCTTTCTTCTCATGTGCTGATAGTTTTTGTTGCTTCTACAAAATCTTTATGTGAGGAAATTTTGTGTTCACTATGTTTTTCTGCATAAATGGTAGAAGTGAATTCTATATACTGGGAATGTTGTAATTATGCCTTTATATATTTTTATATATATATGGGTTTACATACACCTAGATATGTAGAACTGGGTAAAAAAAAAAGCCCAAAAAAACCCCGTGTGACTTCACTAAGCTGCATGTACTAATGTGATGGGTTGTGTATGAACAGATATTTCATGCAGGTATTTTGGAAAGGATACAATTTGAACTGAAAATTCTTTTTAGAAATTAGTGTACTTATTTATGTTGCTGTGATTCTTTGCTGGTTCATGCCACGCTTTTTTAAACAGTATAGTATATACAAGACTTGTTGCTATTTTTTGTTTTGTCCAAAATACTGAAGCATAGTTTTATTCTTAACAGCAGTTTCTTTCTGACTTGTTACAGTATCTGCATTGTTCTAGTTTTCCTTTCTTATTTGTTCCCTGATTGAATCAGCTTTTGCACAGAGTTCCAGCTGGCAAGAATACAGCTTTAACAGAAGTTCAGGCTGTGCGTGAGGCAGTTGCATTCCCTATTAAATGCTAGGCTGGATTAGTGATGCTGAATCCGTTTTAACCCAGATTTGCAAAGAAATAATCAACCACCAGGTTTTTATGTGTTTCTTTGACTGTTTGCTATTGGCATTTAGCAGTAGTTAGATTTATAAAAGAAACTATGGTTAAGAGACTGAATAAAACATTTACTGAATGTAGTTGATTTTCCTTGTCTCTTACAGAAAATCAAGCAAGAGTCAAAGAATCTGAATTGTCAGACACTCTTAGTCCAAGCAAGGAAAAAAGCAGCGACGACACTACAGGTAAGTGTTTTAACTGAGGTTTCTGTAACATCAAGTTAGTCTGAATTGAATCACTTAATTACAAGCATTTTCAAACAGTGGAGCCAGGTGCAACTTCAAAGCAGTATTGTCAATTTTGCAACTTGGTAATTAACTGTTGTTAAGTGAGAAGAATGTAGAAGCTTCTTTGCTATAAGAATGCATGTATGAAGACTGTCTGCGTATTACTTGCTTCCTGAAATGTGTGGGGTTTTTTTTAGATGCCCAAATGGATGACCAAGATCTAAATGAACCTATTGCTAAAGTAGCTCTTCTGAAAGGTAAGCAAATTTATTTTTATAACTTAAGATGCATAATCTATGTATACTGTTTTTTTTGTCTACCTGGTTTTTATCAAATGTACATTGAAGTAGAGTGCTGAAATTCAAATTTTCTGACCATGGTAGTATGGAAGAGCTGCATTTAAGTATCAATAACGATTCCTTTGGGTGATGTGATATAAAAGCTCTGAGTGTTAGTACTGAAATACTTTATACTAGTTTCTGCACTCACCAACACTATTCTAGGAATTTGTGTTATAACTTCAAGTACAGTTTAAGAAATAGTTGCAGTATACCGTTAATTTAGGGCTAATAGCTGTGGAGAGGCAGAATTCTTCCATTATGGATATGTTTTTAAGTGTTGCCAAATTTTACTTGTATAGTTTCCAAAACTATCAGAAAAGCTTGTTAGTTTGCACCTTATGGGTTAAAAAGAAAATGTAAAATCTTTGCTTAATATTTGCTTAACTGTAGTTAGAATTATTGCTGAGCCTTAGCTTTGAGTTTATAGTTTTAAAATAATTTTTTACTGCTTGTTACACTGGAGACATGACCGTAGAACTTGATTAACAAGCCAATATTTACGTATTGAAAAATTTTAGTTGTTATATTTAGCATACTGAAAGTTAATTTTATGCTTTATGTAGAATTAGACATTTGATAAGATCTGTAAACTGGTGCTTATGTCAGAATCACAAGTAAAAACAATGTCACAGTTCCTCATGGTTCAGAAAGACAGGAGATCAGCTTTTTTCTGTAATTGTTTATATTTCTCTCATTTTATGGCAGAAGGATTTCCCAAAACTGCCTGTATTGTGTTTTGGGGTTGGACTAGATGATCTTTCAAGGTCCCATCCAACCCCTAAGATTGTGTGATTCTGTGTGTGTTTCCAAACAGCAAAACTAAAATTGAGTTTGATATTTTCCAGTGCTATCAGCTCAGCAAAGCAGTTTAAAAAGGAGCATTTGAGATGCTGAGTGTGTTCTATTTGGGATTTGCTCTTAATGCCTGCAGTTCATAACAAGTATGGACATGTGTATTTTGCTCTCGTGATATCATTAAAAAAATCTGTACAATGAATCATTTGCCCTTGTAATTTTTATGAACAGCCTGTAAACCCACAGTTTTGGATTAGATTTTGTCACAGAGCTACTTTGTATGCCTGATTTTGCCCTAAAAAGGATCTTATTTGCAACAGAAAACCTTTCAAGGGGATTTGTTTTGCAATCATATAATTAAGGAAGAGTGAGAAGGTTTCTAATCTGGCAAGTGTTTGGAATGCGGAAAGGGCTGCTGAAAAAGGCAGGGTTCCTTTTTGTTTAATTCTTGGTATTTAGTAAACAAATAGAACAAGAAAATGATGAGACATTTAATTGCCATAGTTTCTCCAAGTGTATTTTCCATCAATGAACTTTGAGTGCATTCAGTATTTGTTTCAATTTTTTGCAAGTCAGTATCTGGCAAAGAGGGGAGGGGGAAAAGAGTCACAGCTTAGTAGAGCTGTTTTATTTTTCCCATGAGTTAAATTACTTATTAGCCATTGATAACAGTTCCCTGGAAGACTTCATTTAGACAGGCTGTTTGTGACTACTTACTTCAGAGTTAAAAACAGGTAGATATTAAACAGATGGAAAGAAACAATAAATGTCATCAGAAGTTAGTAATCATATTCTTATAAACCTCCTTGTATATTCATTGTAACAACAAGACTGATCTGTGGATTCTTAATAAAAAGTGTTTTCAGTTGAGGGTTTGCTGAATGGTGCTAGTTTTACAAAAGAAAAAGAAGTTTGTTGATTCAGAAAGTTCAGGAACCATTGGTTTATGTTGCAAGAGCCACATACTTTAAATACATAGTTTATGTGGAACTTCTGAAGCTGAAGAAAACTTGGAGTTTTAATTGTTTCACTTCACCTGAGTACTCTGAAGCCATTAATCTGAATAACATGAGAAATCCTGCAAGATTCTGAAAGTTAACTACTGTGAGACTTGGAGTATCATAAAGTTGCTTCCACAGAACAGACACGTACAGATAAAGGATCAGTTAAGACCTCAGTGTGGTTCTGTATCATCTCTCTTGCCAAAAGAAAAGTGTAAAGGTAAACATATAAGCAGACCTCTCTTGGTATCATCTTGTTTGTAAATATTAATTTAATCTGAGCTTTATTTTTCTTTTGGTTTTATTGAAAATTTTATTTTAGACACCTTAAAATTGCAAAATATTCCTTCACACACCATCATATTCTTTAATTATTTGAAAATGGTAATTTTCCCCAAAAACTGACCCATGGGTTGGACTTCTTGGGCCAGAAGTTTTCCTGTGCTTTGGGAATGATTTGTGCAGATCACACTGATTTTTAGGACAGTGAGTGCTAATGGAAACTGTGTGTGTGGAGGGGGAAACAAAGTGGTGTTAATTAAGAGCCTTTCTTGTAACATGGCAAACAACCAGATCACAGATGAAAATTTTTCCATGAGCTAGACTTAATGAAGATTTTCAAGCTGTTGTATTTAATTTCTTTTTTTTTTTTTTTTTTTTTCTTTTTTATCCTTCTTGTAATTAAGGATAAGAGAAGTGCTGAGTATTTCTGGAAATTGCTCAGATGCTTTTTTAAATTTATGTCTTTTGCATTGGTTCTCAGATCAGGTTTTTGTGATGTGTATTTGCTTTGTGAGGAAACTAATTTTAGGCCTGATGATATTTAGTAGTTTTATTATTTATAAAATCCTACTCACTGGGGAATTTCTTTCAAAACTAGAGTTAGCACAAATAGTGTTAACTTTGAACTAAAAGATGTTAAAGAAATTTTCAGTTTGGGGAAGACTGAAAAGATGTTACTGTACTTATATTTTTTGGCTTTTAATTTAGAAGCATATCAGGCATATGAAAATTCCCCTATTGCATTTGAGCAGGAAAGGGTTTTTAATTTGACAGGGATTGTGCCTTTGCTCAACTGATTGTTGTTCCCTGAGTTGAGTTCCTCTTCTCCTTTGAAGCAGTGTTATCTCTTATGATGTGTGCTTTCAATGACTGGAAAGAACTGTTGAGCAGAAAGTTGGTTTAATGTGTCTATTGTTGTTTGGGACACTGCTTCTTTATCAGGCATGATTTGAGTATAGTTTGTCAACTTCCTCATCCATTTCTTCTGAACAGTCTCATTAAAGAGGGTTGAAAGTCTAATTGTCCCTAGTGTTTATCCATGAGAAGCTAAGAACAAAACATGTTCAGTAAAGTGAAACTTGGATTTCAAACTCTAATAAACTATAAAAGAAAGTATTTGGATGAAATATGTAGTCCTCTTTGTTCTTTCTGCTCTCATAATTTTATTCTTCAGAAGTCTAAAAGCACTTGTGTGCCCTCATCTCTACTTGATCCCACAAATTCATTACTGTGAGAACAGGAAAAGCATAGCTGCTTCTTAGAGGGATACAGTATGAATACTTCAGCATGATTTGATAAACAATTATTTTAATGAAGAAAACAGAAAAAAATTTGTTTCTTTATTGGTAACATAGTAAATATGAATGTCAAAAGTAAAACAACAAACTAAACTGTAGCTTGTATTTATTTTTTTCCTATATTAGTGACAGATCCAGAAAACCAAAGTAATTTATCTTTTGGGGTTTTTATTATCATTTATCCTAAATTCATGCGGTCTGTAGCAGTAGATATTTATTAACTAGTTAACTGTGTATTTACATCTACCTTTGTCTTCTCCCTCTTCAGTGATTTGCAGCAGACTTCTTTCACTGATTTTTCCTCCTTTACCTTTCTCACCTAGTAGACGTCGAAGTTTTAGCCCTCTACCTAGGCAGTGTAGTGGTGCTGCTTGCACCTATTGAAATATCTGTTTCCAACAGATGATACTTAAGGAAAATGTAGTGAATGAGAGTTTCCTGGACCCAGTTCCTGGCATTGCAGATGCCTGCAGGCTGGAATGTTGTCTTCCTCTTCCTTATTGCATCTAGTTTCTACTGTGCCCACTAGAGGACACTGCTACTAGTTAAAAATACTTTCCCTCTTTTATGTTACCCCAAAACTTTAGTTTTTAAAATATCCGTTTGTCTGTGACTGCAAGTAATCTCTTAAAAGTCCAAGAGGTATTTAATAAACCTTTTAGTTAATAGAAAACTAGTGGTGAACTGCAAATGTTTTCATGTAGAGTTTAGACAACGTGTGGATACCTGATCGTGTTAAAAATATACCTCATCTCTGAAGACATAGTAAAAAAAAAAAAAGGGCAAAATTTAGCTTACTGTTTGCTAGGCCACTAAATGAAATAAGGAGGGTGGACTTATCTTAATTGTCTTAATTTTGTTTTAGAAAATTTCCCTCAGTTTTTCCTTTCCTTGTACTTACGGTCCACAGAGGGAGAGGGGGAAGCTTGAACCTTGCAGGGCAGCAAACTGGAAGTAGCAAAGCACTTAATAGCAGCTCTTTGCATCGTCTCTTGCAGCTGAGGGGTATCACCAGCTTCAGGGCAGGTGCTGCTGCCTGACCCGGGGGTGCTGCTGCCTGCCTGAGATGCCTGCTGTGTGGAGCAGGACTGTGGGAGGGTGGACTTGGGAGGTTGGGATGCAGGATCATTGCCAACAAGTGTGCTGGGAGAAAGGGCTAGAGAAGCTTTATAGACAAGCTGTAAACATGGTCAGGGATTGTCTTATACCGGTTCCTTCTTTTTTGTCAATCCAGGATTCCTTGCCAATCTATGCAGTGTTTTTAAAAACTGCATAGTACTTATTTGCATTTTTATTTTATACTGCATATTATATATAATGTAAGTTTTAAATTTTGCATACGGTTTTCTCCTTTTAAAAGTGTATTAATATTTTTGCTAATACTTGTCTAATCCGGTTTTGAGTTTACTTTAACTAACTTCAGATTATTTGAATACAGTCACCAGTCATCACATGGCAGTGCAAATTAAACGGTTGTACCAATTTATGATTTAAAGAAAATGTTCTTTTATCAGATGAATTGCAGGGTGCACAATCAGAGACCGAGGCTAAGCAAGAAATTCAGCAACTGCACAAGGAGCTGATTGAAGCCCAAGAGCTAGCTAGGACAAGTAAACAAAAATACTTTGAACTTCAAGGTGAGACCCAGATCAACTTGGTTATTTAGGGTATTCATTAAAATTGTATTTATCAGGTAGTCCTACAAGGGGGTCCAGGTTTGCTGACTGTGTGTTAGATAAATTTGTTTCATAGTGTTCACATCTCCTACACAGAATATCTCAATCTTTTGCCTTTTTTTCCCTTCCAAACTCTATACACAGTCAGATTGAGCTCTGACTTTTTGGTTCAAGATAGACTGTCTTTTCGTAGTATTGCATACATACTTGAACTCTATATCTTTCACTCTTGTGGAATGTATTAATCTACAGGTATTGATTAATCTGTATCTCAGTCAGATCATGCACATAATGAAATACATTCAGTGGTAGTTCTTTGTTTATGTCCTATCAGATATGCAGTTGTATTGTTATGCTCAGCAATCTGTGCATAGTTTTTAACAGGAATAGTATAGTCCAGTTTAATTGCAGTTGTTCAGTGTTCTTTATGGGGTATATTTACATCCTTCTTTTTTTCTTCTCTCACACCATTTTCCATTTAGTACGTGTGCAGTTTCTGGATCAGGCAACAGATTGTATTAATTTAAAATTAATTGTAATACTACCACAATAATGGAATGATTAAGTATTAACTCTCTATTAATAAAAAATACTTACACAACTACTAGCTTTGACTTACTGAAATATTATAATTGTTTTAATCTTTTCAGTTGGGGAAGTTGTGACTAAAGTTAATTACAGAGCTGAAATATTTCTTACTAACAGAAACTTTTGGGCACATTTTCACTTTCATTTGTAGCACTGTTGGAAGAAGAGAGAAAAGCATATCGAGTACAAGTTGAAGAATCCAACAAGCAAATAAATGTTTTGCAAGGTAGGAAAATTTTTTTTCACTGGACTCTTTTAGGGAAAATATGTAGCTTTGGCTGTTTCTGTCCTGTCATCAACACTACTAAAGGAAAATGTCAATGCTTTAAATCTGATTTCTTTCACCACATCTTTGAATTTTATTGTGAAATTTTTCCTGTCAATTCCTACAGTTCTAATCATAACTTAAAAGATGCAAAAGACCTAATCTGCAACAGATACCTCATCTCCTTCCTCTCTCTCCAGTCTTCCTCAGCTTTGAATGATCCAGGGATTCTTACTGTGATTATTTTCTCTTCAGAGCACTCACAAGGTTTAGTCTCCTTTTGTGATATTCACTCCACTGCATTGGTGGAATCCTCTTGCATAAATTCTTAATCACTCCAGTTCTGCATCCAGTCTCAGAGAATGCAGTAAGATTTCTGCAGTAGAGTCTATGCTTTTTAAAAGTATGACAAGTCATGCTCTTTTCAGCCCAAAATAATTACAGCAGCATGTAGCTTCTATGTCACATTCTGTATCACATTATCTTGTCAGCCTGTGCATGGGAGTGAGCTCATGGGTCAAGAAAGTGTCTAGCCCTAAAATCAATAAGGGTTATATTTATGATTCTTCCACAGAACAAGCATTAGTTTGAACATCTACTCAGTCATTGAATGTTATGAAACCTGTATAAACTTCATACCTTGGTATCTTTGTCAGCATATCATTTGTTTTCGACTAAAAAATGGTTGGAAGGCAGATGAGCAGACAGGCAGATGGACTGAGTCCTTGCTTAGGAAATAAAAATAGTTTAGCAAGTTACTTTGTGGGTGTTTTTTTGTCATAGAGTGTGGTACTTGTCATATACCAGTTACACTGAGAGCCTTTATATAATAACACTTTTATATTAATGTCATATAAATAGAATTTTTGTTTTCTGCCATTACGCCTGTAAGAAAGAGCAGAAATTTAATTTTTTATCTTTTCTTGCTAATAATGAAAATTCTACAATTAAAAAATGCTATAGCATAAGTTAGAAATCAGGATTTGATAGTTATTTCTGTACAGAAAGAAGAAATATCTTTTTTTTCTATCATAAAAGAACATCAAAGTAAAAATCTGACAGAGCCAAACTTGACTGCAAGGTGCCTTGTGTCAGTGCAGTACTTCTTTTTCTCCTCAACCCTTCTCAAGTGAGATCTTCTGTTTCCTCTTCTCCTTTCTCCATGGTAGTTCTCAATGTTTAAATGTTTGTTGTATGCTTCCCAAGCTTTTAGGGTGTGACATCTTTCAGCTTGGGACAAGCTGTCAGGATGTCGGGGTTCTCCTTTGGCAGCCTCTATGAACTGTAGTAGAGAAAAAAAGTCCTGGCAACTTCATATGTCACACTTCTCAAAATATTTTCATGGAATGAATGTTTCAGGCCAGCCAGTGCTACATGGCTTTATATGTTTGTCATAGAGAAGAGAAGGTGCCACAGAAACAGCTGAGATCCTCCCTCTGTGTGTGAAATTCTTCAGTTGAACAGATATGTAAAGCAGGGATATTGAAGTAACTTGTCATTCCTTCTTAAAAAAAAAAGTGAAGCATTCAGCTTAGATGAGGTAATGGCTTACATAAATAAGAGATGTAATGGAAGTTTTCTCTCTAATTGCACTTCAAATTACATCCAGAGCTTCAGAAACAATTCCAGTGTTCTTGGTAGTAAGTTTTCTGTGTAAGTTATTTCTACAAATCCACAAACTTTGCAAACATCTGTATGAGTTTGGTTTTTCAGTCATGCCATGCTTGTTTTCATGCCTGAATGTTTAAAGGGAGTTGTTCATCAACAGCCTCTATAGTATCTTATCTTACGTTTTCAAGTGATGTTAAGAACTTTGCGCTTTTCTTCTAAGAGCAATTATTCAATGATTTAGTAATTGCTTTCTCCCATGTTAAAAATGAAACACGTGAACTCTGTATGTGTTCTTTAAAAAAACAAAACAAAAACACTGAAAAAATTAAAAACTTTGCTTCCATCTGTCACTTTTAATTAAAATTTTGTTCTTTCATGATTCCCTTTCCTCTGTACTTCTCAACAATTTGCACTGGATTCTATTTGCATGTGTGTTAATGAAAAGTAGTTGAAGTAGGTGTGCTCAGAGGTGTTTAGTAATGGAGCAGTTTTGAATAGGAATAATTTATAAGATTTGCTTCATGCAGAAATAACCCAGAGCGTGACTGCTGCACATTTACAGTAATCCATAAATGCTAAAGGACTTCTTAAAGTTCAATATATTTGGTGCAGCTTGCCCTTTCAATTAAAAATTAATCTTGTGCTTTGAAAAATGCGTTTTGCAAAGAAGTGAAGGACTGGAGTAGAAATTAGATTCTGTGCCTCAAGTGTTTATAGATACTAGAAGCTAATTGCTCAATAGGCAAACATTTCCAATGCAGCTTTGTGACTGTTTGGCTTATCACAGAAGCTTTCTTGCTTTTCCTCTTTTCCCCAAACCCCACAGTGTCCTACTTTTGTAGTATTTGTTCTGCTTACAGTGAAGTTGGATCTAAATCTTTGACTCAGATTTTAGAGAGTTGTTTCAGCATCATGCATGCAACACAACCCTAAGAAAGCTTTGTCCAACCATAATCCTTGTTTCTTTTGACTCTCTAATAGAGGACCACTCATACGTGTCTCTTTAAGGTTTCAGCTTTTGACAAGGTTAATGTATTTTTCAATTGCATTAGGATTCTTTTATTAAATATGAGAGTTGAAAAAGGGAGTTATGTTTTTTTAGATATTCAGTAAGTACAATTTTAAAAAATAGTAACATTAATGTCTGCTTTCCAGCTCAGTTGCGAAGATTACAAGAAGATATTGAAAATCTTCGTGATGAAAAGGAGAACGAAGTTTCAAGCACTCGAAATGAACTAGTCAGTGCTCAGAATGAGATCCTGTCTCTTCAGAAAGTAGCAGAAAAGGCAGCATCAGAACGAGATACAGATATTTCTGCATTACAAGATGAGCTTCAAACAGTGCGAGCGGAACTCGAACGGTGGCAAAAAAATGCCTCAGATTATGAAAAAGAAATAGTCAGACTGCAAGCCAGTTTTCAGCTTAAATGTCAGCAGTGTGAGGATCAGAAGAAGGAGGAGGCTACACGCTTAAAAGGTACTTGATTTAAAGGATGTCACAGACCAGTGCTAACAGTAGGAAGCTTCTCAATGTACTGAATGTCAATTATTCAAATCACTATTTGTTTCTCTGTAGTAATTTACTATGTCTGTATATACACAAGTGTGTGTATATGTCTATATCAAGGCTTGTAGTGTTACAAAAGCTGTTATGTATATTATCTTAGGTACCCTTTGATATTAAAAGTAGATCGAGTGTAATTGCACTTAAAAAAGGTGGAAGACTTGTACTGTTTGAGGGACTGAAACTGTCACAGATCTCTGAGAAGACTTTAAATTTTGAATCAGTTAATCTTTGTGAAGTTATCAGAGGAGCCATTTTACAGTTCGGGCTCCAGTCTCTGTCATTCTATTAAGAAGATGTGTACAATATGTATTTTTACCTCTTTTTAACAAGTAATTATTTATTTCAAAGGTCTCATTTTCACCTGTTAGTTCTTGCCTAAATCATTTTGTTCCCTGGAGCAGAGGCATTCTATCTAGTGATTCTAGTTGTTTGCTGTTTTCAAGTCTGGGAAATTGATTTTTTCAAACACTTCTTTCTGTCACCGTTTCAAAAATACTGGAGAACACCCATAAACACTGTTCTTTATTTCTTTGTGCCTTAGAAAAAGCTTGCATTAAAAAAAAGCACTAGCTTTTTAATGGCTTACAAACATCATAAAACATTACAATATCTTCTACTGTTACAGGGGCTTGTGAGAGAGTTCATGTGATGTGATTATAATCAAATACATTTGAGATTTATGATTTATATCAGCTGGTGATACTTCAAGCAGTCATGAAATAATTTTACTCAATTCAATTAAATTTTATTCAATGCAGGTGAACTTGAAAAGTTGAAGGCAGAGTGGAGTGCTCTGGAAGCTGAATGTGTTACACTAAGGAAGGAAAATACTTTGCTTACAACTGAACTTCAGCGACAAGAGAAGGAGCTCTCTAGGTAAGGGCCCAGCGGATACAGGACGGTATCATAGTAGTAGCTGTTGGATTTTTTTCTTCTCAAAAGTAGTATTTGATTTGAAATGTTGGAATTTTTTTGTGACATTTTATTTATATCATATTATTGAGCAGAACTCAGTTTCATGCCAAACTTAAACCAAGTTTTTTCTGTTTTGCAAACATACTATTTTTTCATGTAGAAGGTGACACGAGCAGATACAGGATTTGTATAGTGGAGATAGGCAAGATCTGTCCCTTATATTTCTTTCTGCCTTGCACAGGCACTTGGTTATCACTACTTGGTTATTGCACTGATGTTTGTAATGGCTTAATTTAGAGCTTTTTTTGACTATTACACAGTTGTACTAAACACTTGAAAAATACTAGCTTAGAGGACTGGAGAAAGCAAAGAAATGTCTGTGCAAATTACTAAAATCCTAACAACCTTAGACAGCCTTCTCATTACGAATTTGTTTCAGAATGCTTTGAAGTGTAGAAGAAACCCTTTGTGAATAATAAAAAGTAAAAAACTAAAAATGAGGAATTATAACTGATTTAAGTTATAGATTGTAATGAAATTATACTCATTAAGCTGTGCACATATATTTAAAAGCAAGACTATGGCCAGCCTTTTGTGTCAGTACTTTGCTTAGGGAGACAATAATGACCTGCACTTCTGTGATTGCTCTAAGCTGATATTTCTATATTAAATAAAACTAATGTGTGAAGTTTTGAAGGATGAAAAGTGCTTAAAACCCTCTTGTTTCTTTAAGTTCAAAGCACAAGCTGTCAATTGGATTTTGTTTTTCAGCTCTCAGAAACAGAGCTTAGCGCTAACCAGCGATATAAGTGTTCTTCAAATGTCTCGAAAGGAACTTGAAGATCAGATGGGATCTTTGAGAGAAAAACATCAACGGGATGCAGCTAGTCTAAAAAGCCAACTCAGTGAAGCTGAGAGTCAAGCAAAAGATGTTCAGAAAGAGGTAACACAAAATATTATTTCTGTTTGGGGATGGTAGAATTCCTAATGATTTTCACATTTATGCTGAAAGAAAAGGAAAAACAAGATTTCTAGAAATGAAAATTTTTTTCTTTGTTTTGTTGTAAGTACTTTTATGGCAGCTAGTAATATAATAACTGGGGTTAAAGGAAGATTTCAAATAAAATTACTTGCATGTGTTTTGGGAATTTCCTTAAGTTTACTTTTGTGCATTACCTTAGTGCATTTAATTTTAAGCGGTT